ATATATATATATATATATATATATATATAATTTTATTAACTTTTTACATAGATAAAAGGCAAATTTTAAAGAAAAACATAAAAAGTTTAAGAAGAAAGAGAAAAAAGGAAAAGTGCAGGAAGCAATACCGTAAAAGAAAGATAATTTTTAAAAAAACAGGGAAAAAAATCCATCCTTTTCTGCAGTTACTGTACAAACAAACTTATTAGCTCTCCTCCTCCTGCTTTCGTATTACAAAAATTGCTTCAGCCCTTTAGTTAATCCTTTTTCCTTTGGTGAATCTACAAATCATCATTCACTCTTTTCCATTTTCAGTTAAAGGTCCATAAAAGTTTCTAGTCCTTTATCTTGGAACTAGTCATGTCAGTGTGTTGCCGTTTCCATCATCTTCACCAACCATTCCTCCACTGTGGATATTTCAGCATTTCTCCATCATTGTGCATGTAATAATAACTTTCCTGCAATTATTATTCTTCCTAAGTCTCAAATAAAGACACCACATCTTGTTCTTTAATGTGTGAACTGAGCCAAGAATTTCCCCCCAAAATCACAAGGCTGGCACAGTTTCTTGTCAAAAAGCTCACAATTGTAAATTAAAAGAGAGGAGTCTCTTAATTGCTGCTGTAAATTCAATTTGTGTTTTGATCTCCCTCCTTCACACTTTATGTCACTGATGAATACAGATAGTCTTCTACTTATGACAATGAAGCCAAACATTTCCATTGCTAAGAAGGCAGTTGTTAAATGAGCCAAGAACCCATTTTACAATCTTTTTTGCCACGGTTGTTAAAGCAAATCACTGCAATTCTCAAGGGAATCATATAGTTGTTAAGTGTCTCTGGCTTCCCCCCAATGAGTTTCCTTGCTGGGAAGATCACAAATGGTGATCAGATGAACCCAGACCAGTGCAACTATCCTAAATTTATGCCATTTGCAAAGCATCCAATCTTTTTTGCCATGTGACCAAGGGCTGCAGTGGCTGTAAACATTAACACTGATCATAACTTAGTGTTTTTTTTTAAAGCCATTTTAATTTCAAACACTCACTAAACAATGGTTGTAAGTCAGGGACTAACAGTAATGAAAAACAAGCAACCTTAACCTACATTTTACAGGGGTACTGTAACAATAAAACAGGAGGGAGAAATATTAAAGTTTTTGGGGAAAGGTGGGATATAAATTTGGTGTTTTCGGCATAATTTACTACAAGGTGTACATGCAGCCTAATTTAATGGAGGATTTATTCATTTACTCAGCAATTTGAATGAAAATATGTATTTGTAGTCTGTTGCCACGTGCTAAACTTTTTTCTTGATTGAATAATATTTAGGGGACCACACTGGATGGAACAGCCCCTTTCTAGTTGTCTCCTCTTTGTCAATGTTTATAGACTCCACAATGTCCAAATGTGGTATATTTTGATCTGTGTGCACTGTAGAACTTAGATGAGTGACTAACAGCCAAATACAGCAAATCAGTCTCTTTTGAATAATGCAATTCAAAAGTTGCATTATTCAGCCATAAAAAAGAAACACCCTTTCCTCAATCGATTTCTGCCTCAAATCTAGTCTTCTTTATTTTAAGAAAAAGGGAATTTGCAGAGTATTTTTCCCCATTGCATCTGCAAAAACTCCCACTATTGGATCATTAAAAACATAAAAGAGTCCATCTCCTCCTTTCATCTAATTGCCATAATTCACCACACAGCACTGAGGAAACCAAAATGGTTTTCGCCAGTCTCTTTGAGAGTGGGCAGCATACTAATTAAATCAATCAATCAATCAATCAATCATGGCTTACTGAAATATGTGAAGCCATTATTCTTACTATCGTTACCACAGAATGCAGTGATTACATTTGGCCATCAATTTAAGAGTTAAAGCCAATTGCCAAGATGTTGGACTTAAACAGTGTTTCTCAATCCTGGCAACTTTCAGATGTTTGACTGAAACCCCCAGAATTTCTCAACCAGCCATGCCAGTTGGGGAATTTGGGGGGTTGAAATTCACGTGTCTTAAAAGTTGCCTAGTTTAAGAAGCACTGGATAAAAAAACAGGAAGACTCACACCTCGATCAACTTGCAGTCATAGCAATGGGTGGGCCTTCTCCGGGTGCCGCCAACTAGACAATGTCGTTTGGCGGCTCCTCGAGGGAGGGCCTTCTCTGTAGCTGCCCCAGCCCTATGGAACGATCGACCCCCAGAGACCCTCCCCACTCTCGTGGCCTTCTGCAAAGCCATTAAGACCTGGCTTTTCCGGCAGGCCTGGGGCTGTTGACCTCTTGAATGAGGTCCAGCCACATTAAGGTTGAGTGCATGTTTGTGTCTCTTTTAACTTGTCTTGTCTTCTACTTTTTAAACATTTTAGTACTCCTTTTATTGTTTTTATGTAAGCCGCCCGGAGTCCTTCGGGATTGGGAGGCATATAAATTTATTAAACTCGAACTCAATTCACGGGGTGACTATCTTGCAGGGTTTAAAATGGAGTGATAAATATACTACCTTGAGCATTATGAACTCCTTGGGCAAAGATTCACACGTTAGCTATATTTAATTATAAAAAACGTTTCGTTACATCATTGCCCAAGCCTCACCTGCCTCTTCATCCCAGGCACCAGCCTAAGGTTGGAAGGGCAAAGCAGGAAAGGAGGAAGATTTTTTGACAACAATGGCGGCTCTTTGGTGCAATTATCAGAGAAACTGCATCGTTTTTAGGGATCTGACTGTAAACAATAGCAATAGCAGTAATAGCAATAGCAGTAGACTTATATACCGCTTCATAGGGCTTTCAGCCCTCTCTAAGCGGTTTACAGAGAGTCAGCATATTGCCCCCAACAACAATCCGGGTCCTCATTTTACCCACCTCGGAAGGATGGAAGGCTGAGTCAACCCTGAGCCGGTGAGATTTGAACCGCTGACCTGCTGATCTAGCAGTCAGCCTGCAGTGCTGCATTTAACCACTGCGCCACCTTGGCACTGCAGGCTACCCTAAACACAGGGAAGACTTCAGTTTCAGCGAATAGGAATTAGGGACCAGGGTTGAATAAGAATCAGGGACCAGGGTGCCTGAAAGGACACCTAAATGGAGGGAAATGATGGCAAAAGCTGTTAAGAGGCCTCTCTGTTTTGTGTGTGTGTGTGAGAGAGAGAGCAATAGCAATGCAGAAGAAAGTAAGTTGCTTGCTCCTTTATTTTTCCTTCAAGAATTGAACCTAAACATTCTAAAGCACATGATTGCACTTGTATACTGTGGCTTTTTAATGTTAGTGTTAAAACAGAACAAGCCGAATATATTGGAGGGTAATAGAAGAATTGAACCTAAAAGACCCCCTCCAATGCAGAGAAGCTGATGGAGAGCTAGGCTGGGGGGGCCTTGAAAAGTTATCTTGAAAGATGGCTTTGTTGGGGGGGGGAGGTTTTAGGGGCCTTTTGGCGGGTGGGAAGAGTAACTCTTCCTGGGGTAGAAAGTTTCTCTTCGTTGGTGCCAACCTCTGACGTCAATGGGAGCCAAACAAGCGATAAGCGGCTTTCTCAGGCGATGCCCCTCTCGGCCCCCCTCGCCCGACCCCCGTCCTGCCCGCAAAAGAGATACTTCCCAGCCCTTTTTTTTAATTGTTGTTATTGTTGGCATCCTGCAGGTGCGGCTTTGCGGAGCCTTGGCGAAGGCGTGAGAAGATCAGCCGCGCTGTCTTGCTAACGTAGCTTCAAGGTCTCGAACCAGCATAAAAAGCCAGTCCCGGAGCGCTCGGGACCCCAGAGAGCTCAACCAGGTAAGACCTGCGTTTCTTTCCTTTTGCAGCGGGGACTTGGGCGCGGGGTCGGGCTTTCCTCTTCCAAGCGCAAAGTTTGCGCTTTGACTCCAAGCGCTCCGGGGCTGCGCAAAGCCAGCAACTCTCTCCAAAGTTTCAGAGGGGCGAAATCTTTGTCTTCTTTTGCAGGTTTTGGGCAGCGGTGGAAACGCCGGTGAGTCGCAGCGCCTTCGGGGCCAGAAGAAGGAGAAGTTGGGGAAAACTTTTCTTTTTGTTTTTCGGTGATGCCTCGCAGCCAATGTCTGATTTTTCCTTCTTTTTTCCTTTTCTTTCAGGTCGGCCCGCGGTCCCCGCCAAGAGCCTGGATTTCTGCTCGTCGTTCCTTTTTCCTATGCATATACTTCTTTGATAGTTCGGATTTAAAGAGGCATAAGGCATGGGAAAATGGGGCGATGGAGTGTAGCATCAGGATTTCCCCAGCCTTAAGAGTCCGGACGCAGCGCCCTTCCCAAGCGAGGTGGAAAACCTTTTTCAAGTAAGCAGGCCGGGGAGATGCCGGATCGGGCATCTCCAAGTGGGTTTCTTACTCTGGGTCGGAGGATTTGATCCATGCCGAAGAGTTACAAGGAGATTTTTCCCCCCCGAAGCCTAGCTAAATAGTTCCAGGCTTGGCTTGAAAAAAATAGGTTGATTCAAACTTTGCTTTTAAACAGGGGGTCAGAAACTCCCTGATGGAAAAAAATATATATTTTTCGTTTTTCTCTCTTTCTATTACAGCTGCCAAGAAGCCAGAGGTGTCAGTAAAAACTTGTGGATGCCAGGAAGTGTCATGGTAAGACACCCCAGCTTGAAAAATCCATTTTTCCTCTTTTCATCCACAGGGCTGGTGAAATTTATAATGTGACCCCTTACTATATTGTAACTGTTTTTATTTTTAGGCAAGCCACTGAAGTTCTGGAGGAGATCAACCCAGAAGAAGACGGGTGAGAAACAAAAGGGGTTTGCTATAGTGTTAGCCACAAAATAAATTTAAAAAGTTATTGTCATCTATATTGTAACAGTCTTTGTTTTTATTTTTAGGCAAGCCACTGCAGTTCTGGAGAAGAGGAACCTAGAGGAAGATGGGTGAGAAACGAAAGGGGTTTGCTAAAGTGTTAGCCACAAAATAAATTTAAAAAGTTATTGTCATCTGTCGCTTTCATTCTGGGAATGTGTTCCATTGAAGTAAATTCTGAATAAGAATAAATTGCATTTGCATTGTTAAGCTGGCCTGCAAAATCCATTTTTTCCTGTTTTTATCCACCAGGTCTTCCTGGAATTTCTAACTTAACACTTACTCCTAGTTCTGGAGAAGGAACCTAGAAGATAGGTAAGAAACTATAAAGGGGTTTGCTTAAGTGCTAGCCACAAAATAAATTAAAAAACATCTGCGGCTGCACTTCTGGGAATATGTTCCATTGATCACATTGTGATGTAAATTCTAAATAAAAACCTGTACATTTGCATTGTTAAGATGTTTGCCTTCTGTTGTATGGTGTGTTGTTTTAGGCTCTCTCTCCCCCTCCTCCTCCTCCCTCTCTTTTACAGCTGCTAAAAGGAAAAGGTGTTAATAAGAACTTTTAGATACCAGGAAATGCCATGTTACTGCATCCCAGCCAGTAAAGCTATTTTCCTTCGTTTTCATCCATAGGTTTAAAGTTTTTAAAGTTTTAAAGTTTAAGGTTCTCATGGATCTGTACATTTGCATTTTTTAGAGGGTTGCCTTCAGAATATGTTCTATTGTGAATAAAATCTCAGTCATACCCGTACTTGCCTTATACTAAAATCCATTTTCTGTGTTTTCATCCACAGGTTTCTCATCGATCTACATTTGCATTATTAAGATAGTTTCCTTCTGTTACCTGTTGCTTTGTGAATAAATTTCAGTAACCTCCACACTCGAATGCATTCAGCTTAAATTTCAAACAAGCGTACATAGGATTGCTGTGTAATAAAGTAGTAAAGTATTCGTGTTCATGTATTGTATTTGAACAAATTATATAATTATGCCTGTGTGTCAACTTTGTGATTCAGTTGGTTTGCAAAGCTTCATTTGACGTGTGCCTCTTTGCTTTTGATTTAGTAATAAAATTATATGTATTTGATCCGGAATGTGTGCATCTTACTTATTAAGGTTGGCAAATTGTGCCAGAAACAACACAAAATGGTAATACTTTGAGGGTCAAATAGTGGGGCAATAACTTTGGGGTGCTTCAATAATATCTACAGGTTGAGCTTTGACATTTTAGCTACATTCCAGGTCTCTGATGTGTACATGGTGAACATGTAAGTTCTAAATCAAATAGGAGTAAACAATCATTGTGTGCAAGCAATCAATACATATTATGTGCTTGGAGTTCCACAATCAATACATTTTGTGCGCTTGGAGAGTTTGAGAGTTCTGTGTCAATGCACGGTGGTTCTTGTGCGATGGCTAAATTTAAACCCCAAAAATTACCTGCTGACATATTTACATGAGTGTGCACAGATCCAATGTTCCTAAAGCTTATTGCAACTTTAAAAACATTTAAAATTTCATTTCAAAGGGGAATTGCTGCTGAAAACTGCAGCATTTAACTTTCCAACTTTCTTGTATGGCAAATGCTGTCTTTGTTTAGATACTCTAAAATCCCAAGAACATTCAGTGGAGTTCAGTTAAATGCAATAACTCCTTGAAACTACAATTTGGGGGTGTAGATTTTTTTAAACCAATTGGTTATTTGTAATAACGCACAGGTAACGGTGTAATCCTACACGTAAAGTGCCATGCAGACTTACACCTAGACATAGCCCAAATGAAGAAATGTTTTTTGCTTAATAAGTGGGTTCATGAATCCTAAATGTTCAGGTATATATAATAAGTCCCTTGACACAAAAAGAGAAATACCAGGCCTCATTTCCAAGAGCATCAAGATTTACAGCTGCAGGCTCACCGTTCCATAATAAATAAGCTTAACATTAAAATTGTGGGCTTCAGGGAATAAACATAATTTCTCTATGTATTTCTATTTCTAATAGTAAGTCATCTGTATAGGTTATTTCAATGGGCTCACATACTAGTCCTTTTGGTTTATTTTAGGGAAAATAAAGCTTTGATCCTATGCATCTTTACTTGGGATCTATTGGGTTATACCGCTAATTAAATAGGCTTTTAGAGTGCAATGCACTGCTTAAAATATTCATTGCCTATCCTCTTCCAAGCACAGTACCACACCGTTTACATTTTAGTAGCAAGAATACTGTTCCTATTAACAGGCACAAGAGCTTAGTCTATAGGTACCGAAATAGCTTGGACTATTTATTTGCATCGTAAGTCCTTCTCCGGTTCTGTTTCCATATAATAAGGGCCAATGTATACATCCCCAAAGGAAAAGGAAGTGAAGTAGATTCAGAGTAGCTGTAATACACCTGGAGCCCGTTCCGGTTTATACCACATTTTAGCCTAAGTGCATTGTGCAAACCAGAGATCATTTAAAAGCAAGGCTTTTTCGTGTGTGTGTGTGTGTGTGTGTGTGTGTGTGTGTGTTTGTGTGTTTGTGTGTTTGTGTGTTTGTGTGTGTGTGTTTTTTTCTTCTCTGTTAAATATCAGATTGTAAAGGAACACAATGGAGGGATTTGGGCAACTATATGATAAATGATATAGGATCATTGCCACCCAGTAAAATTCTAGGAAGAGAAATTTATTTGGGAGTGGAATCTATTTTACATGTCAAACGTTTATACAGAGCCAAAACTATGACTGTAAAATTCACTGACCAGATACAAAAGGGAGGCATGGTAGAACTGAAATACTATGTTTTTTACCCCATCTCAGGGCAGGATCCATCTTATTGATTATATCTCCATCTATCCTTCCCTTTTGGAATTGAGGGCGTTTTTTCTAGATCTCTTCCCCCTTCCCATTTCAGCTTTTCCAAAAAAAAATTGAGAATGGGTTAGCTTGATAACAGAGCAAGCTGATGTTTAGAGAATCCTATACTGTAAGTGTTAATTGCAACAAATTTGTGTTTGATTTCCTGAAGTCTCTGTAAAAAAGAGCCTGCAAAATCGTCTCCCTGATTCTTGCACATTTCTTACCATTAAGTGCTTTTGGTGTGGAGTTGAAACCTGCTTTCCTACCAATTATTTCTGTTGGTCCTAATTCTATACTGTGGAGCAACAAAAATCAAATCAACTCCATCATTTGTAAGACAGTAGAGCAGTGTTTCTCAACCTTGGCAACTTGAAGATGTCCGGACTTCAACTCCCAGAATTCCCCAGCCAGCGTTCGCTGGCTGGGGTATTCTGGGAGTTGAAGTCCGGACATCTTCAAGTTGCCAAGGTTGAGAAACACTGCAGTAGAGTATCAATACCTGAAGACTACTATCAGGCCTCTAATCTTCCTCTTTTCCAGTAAAATGGGCCCATTTCCTTCCTTTGAAGAAAGCTATAGTAAGGCTTCCTCATATCCATACTCTAGGTATTCTGGGACCGCCATCACTTAGTACCACAGTGCAGAGGTGAGTTGCTGCTGGTTCATCCTGGATCAAACCAGTAGTAGCAGCAGCGGGAGCCCTGCCCACATGCCCAGATGCTTCTACGCATGTGCAAAAGCATTCATGGGAGCGTGCCTGAACAAAATCGGCCACCCACCACTGCCACATTGGTTAGGGAATACAATGAGTTGCAATCTCCTTCAAGTTGGAGAAGATTGCTACCAATCTTCAGTTGAACTGAAAAGGGGGCATTTTAGAAGAGAACACCCTCAACTGAGTTTTGCTCCACTTTACGACCTCAGTTGTTAAGTGAACCACTGAAGCTGTTGGTTGTTAAGGGAATCTGGCTTCTACCTTGGCTCTGCTTGTCAGAAGGTTGCGAAAGGAGATTGCACGACCCCCCGGGACACTGCAACCGTCACAACTATGAGTCAGTTGTCATAAGAGCCGAGGTGGCACAGTGGTTAAATGCAGCACTGCAGGCTACTTCAGCTGACTGCAGTTCTGCAGTTCGGCTGTTCAAATCTCACCGGCTCAAGGTTGACTCAGCCTTCCATCCTTCCGAGGTGGGTGAAATGAGGACCCGGATTGTTGTTGGGGGCGATATGCTGACTCTATAAACCGCTTAGAGAGGGCTGAAAGCCCCATGAAGCGGTATATAAGTCTAACTGCTATTGCTATAGTTGGCAAGCGTTTAGATTTTGATCAGCTGACCATGAGAATGCTGCAATGGTCGTAAGTGTGAAAAATAGTCATAAGTCCCTTTTTTCAGTGCCATTGTTAGTTCAAATAGTAACTAAGCAAGCTGTTGTAAGTTGGGGGGCTACTTCTACTTCTGCAACCCCTAATAGAGGATGTGTGTCCGGGTACTGAATTCATGCAAGCCTTTTGTGATATAACTATCAAAATACTAAGATTTTTCTGCCTCCTAGCACTTGCTCCCTCTATTAAATAGAATGGAGCCTCCGGGCAGGTGGAAAGAGTCTTGATCTTGTTAGCTTTGAAATTCAAAGACATAAAGGCTTCCAGGTGGACATTACCTGTTGCTTTCCCTGCCTTCACTGTTATTCAATGCATTGTTTCGAAATGGTTCTAATTCAAAAGTTGCATTATTCAGCCATAAAAAAGAAACACCCTTTCCTTAATCGATTTCTGCCTCAAATCTAGTCTTCTTCGTTTTAAGAAAAAGGGAATTTGCAGAGTATTTTCCCCCATTGCATCTGCAAAAACTCCCACTATTGGGTCATTAAAAACATAAAAGAGTCCATCTCCTCCTTTGATCTAATTGCCATAATTCACCACACGGCACTGAGGAAACCGAAATGGGTTTCGCCAAAGAACCAAGCAGCTGCAATGCTAATGAATCCATTATTTCTAAAAAACATTATTAAGATGCTGACCGCTTTGCCTAGAAATCAGTCCCGTAGGAAATTAATAGGACAACCAGTTCTGAAATCTGTAAAAAAAAAAAATAGTATGATGTAGGCCAGGGCTGTCCAATCTTAGCCACTAAGACCTGTGGACTTCAGCTCCCAGAATCCCCCTGTCTCTTGATATAGAACTAAAATACTGCATCCAGTTTTGGTTAAAGGTAAAGGCTCCCTTCACACATATGTGCTAGTCGTTCCCGACTCAAGGGGGCGGTGCTCATCTCCGTTTCAAAGCCAAAGAGCCAGCGCTGCCTGAAGACGTCTCCATGGTCATGTGGCTGGCATGACTAAACTTTTCTGCCTCCTTACACTTGTTCCCTCTATTAAATAGAATGGAGCCTCTGTGCAGATGGAAAGTGCCCGGAACACTGTCTCCTTCCCATCAAAGTGGGCCCTATTTTTCTACTTGCATTTTTATGTGCTTTCAAACTGCTAGGTTGGCAGAAGCCGGGACAAGTCATGGGAGCTCACTCTGTTATGTGGCACTGGGGATTCGAACCGCCGAACTGCCAACCTTTCTGATCGACAAGCTCAGTGTCTTAGCCACTGAGCCACCACGTACCTTTTTGGTTACCACACTATAAAATAGATGTTGAGACTCTAGAAGAGCAGCCAGGATGATGAGGGGACTGGAGTCTAAAACATATGATGAACGGTTGCAGGAACTGGGCATGGCTAGTCTAGGGAAGAGAAGGACCAGGGGAGACAGGAGAGCAGCCTTCCAATATTTGAGGGGCTGCCACAGAGAGGAAGGGGTCAAGCTATTTTCCAAAGCCCCCGAAGGCCAGACAAGGAATAATGGATGGAAACTGATCAAGGAGAGATTCAACCTAGAAACAAGGAGGAACTTTCTGACAGTGAGAACAATCAACCCATGGAACAGAAGTTGCCTTCAGAAGTCGTGGGAGGCTTTCAAGAAGAGATTGGACTGCCATTCGTCAGAAATGGTGCAAGGTCCCTTCCTTGGGCAGGGGTTTGGTCTAGATGACCTCCAAGGTCCCTTCCAACTCTGTTCATCTATAATCTGCAGACAGTTCCAAAGAGGAAACATTGTTTTTTTTTTCCTCCTTAAAAGTGATTTATGCCTTCAAACAAAAGCAAATCTGCATTTCTCCAATCAAGCACAATAACCATTTTTTTCTGAGTGTGGAGTAGAGAGATTAATACAGAGAGATCTCCGTTTATGCTAGGGAAATGAAG